CTCAAAACATAAATGAAATCCCATGGCTCTTTTAAAATTGTGAAAATTGAAGGAGGCTACTAAACTGTATTTTCAATTCAGTGAATTCCTCAATAAATTGACCCCAAAATGGGAGCATGTTTGGATGACCAAAACATCATGCATCTTTTAAGACTACTTTTTAGTTTTGATCTGAGAAAACTGAATAGGTGTACCCATTGAGACCTTGCTAAGCGAACATGCATTTGTATGTTCCTTCCCACCACTTTGTAAATGTGGTCCCCTGATAGCTCTTCTAGGTTGGTTTGAAATGAAGCTTGCTTTTCCATGAAAGACTAATATGGAAACATGGAAGTTTTATGTAATTAGTTTTTCATTTGGTTTTCCAGCAACATCATAAGGACTTAACTGTAATCTATATAAACAATACTATTATCATTGCCAACAAAATTAATAATGATTCTTAATCACTATCTAATATCAGATAATAAATGCTATTCAATTTTCATCAATGATCAAAATAAAAGTAAATGAAAATATCATGAAAATCCTTTAAACAACCCATATTACATCATATCTTGATTCTCAGTCGAATACAATATTCTTTCAAAAAGAAAACAGAATCTTCATCTTGACTGGCTAAAGTATACTTTAAATAAATATATATATTAATTTTATCTTATAGAAATATATTTAATTTTAATTTTATAATAATTTTATCTTATAGAAATATATATAATTTTAATTTTATAAGTATGCAGATATATCTTTATACATATATATATAATATATACACATAAAAATTATTTACATATGTATAGTCTCTATAGTGACATCCAATCAATTCTGACGGTGGCAACAGTTGTCTGACAAGTTACATAACAACTATCCAGTAAACTTTAATGCCATAAGCAATTATACGACCTAAATATTAATAATAACAGTAATAATAGAGAAAAGTTATTCAGTACATTACCTCATATTTTGGATACACAATGTCCCTCATGACACATTCTGGAACAGAGAATTTGGGTGCAGTGGGATTCCAAAACATCTTTGTAATTTCTGGATAAGCAGATGTCTTAGAAAATAAAATAGAAAAATTATTATAAATAGTAACAAATGTTCCCTAAGATTAAAAAAACTCAAACTTCTGTCAAAATTGCTTCCAGATGCTGAGAAAATGACCTGATTGGTTGCAAAGCCTCTGAATGAGGGGAAAATAACTTTTCATAACTACCAGATTAGCAAAAAAACAAAAAATTGTAAAGGCAGCAATACCAAGTGATGCTAAGGCTGTGAGGAAGTTAGCAGAACCACACCGGCAAATTGGCCATTTGAAAGTAGAAAAAGTACATGCCGTGACATAGTGAATTCCACTGTTATGGTTTGGATATGAACTGTCCCCCAAAAGCTCACAGTGAGACAATGAATGCAAGATAGGAGGAGAAATGATTGAGTCATAGCCTCAACCCAATCAGTGACCTAATCTCTGATGGGATTAACAGGGTGGTGGCTGGAGGAAGTGGTTCATTGTAGGCGTGGCTATGAGGTATATATTTTGTATCTGGAGAATGGAGACTCTCTCCTCCTGCTTTCAGATCACCATGTGAGCTGCTTCCCCCTGCAACACACTCCACCATGATGTTCAGCCTCACCTCCAGCCACAAGGAATGGAGCCTGCTGTCTAGGAATGGAGACCTCTGAAACTATGAGCCCCTGAAAAAACCTTTTCTCCTCTACAATTGTGGTCAGATCCTTTAGTCACAGCAACAAAAAAAAGCTGATTAAAACACCCACCATCATGTACATCCATAAGAATTCGGTTCTAGGGGCTGGGGTTATGGCTCAGCGGCAGAGCGCTTGCCCAGCACAGGCGAGGCCCTGAGTTTGATCCTCAGCACCACATAAAAAAAAATAGATAAAATAAAGGTATTGTGTCCAACTACACCTAAAAATAAATATTAAAAAAAGAATGGTTCTAATTAGGATAAGAGATATTCCATTCTTTCATAATTATATCAAAATGAATTCTAATGTCACATATAACTAAAAAGAACCAGTAAAATAAAAGATAAGAAAAAGTACATGTCACAAGTTATAGCAATTCCACTTACAGCTGTATATTATATTCTAGGCAAATCCTTACACACATGCTTGGAGAGATATGTGCAGAATATTCATAGAGCTTATGAAATAGCAAAAATAAAATCCAACGTAAATGTCTATTCTGGAGAGATGAATAAAACTTGGCATATTCATATAAACACTATAAAGTCATTAAAATTATGATCCATAGATGGATCTTAGAAGCATAACATTGATAATAACATAAGTTTCATAAAGATGCATACACATTTATAATTTATATAAAATGCAACTAGAACATAAAAACTATGTTATTTATAGTTTAGGATCACAACTACAACTAGTAAAACATGAAATCATGGACAGGAAAGACCACCATTATAACAATAATTTATCTTGGTTATGGAGGAAGAGAAATAAAGACATAATTGAGAGAACTTAATAATCTTTTATTTTAAAAAATATAAAGTAAGTATGACAAAATGTAAATATTTATGAATTCTTGATAGCGTGTTCCTCAGATTCCTAATATTTTGGTTTCTATATTTCTCTGTATCTTCCAATGACATGATTTTATATTTAAAAGATTCCAAAAAAAAAAAAACTCCACCAGAAAACTTCTAGAACTAATAAATGAATTCAGCAAAGTGGCAGGATATAAAATCAACACCCACAAATCAAATGTGTCCTATACATCAGTGATGAATCATCAGTGATGAAAGAGAAATTAGGAACACTACTCCATTCACAATAGACTCAAAAAATATATGATAATTGGAGGCTGGGGTTATGGCTCAGTGGTAGAACACTTGCCTAGCATGTGTGAGGCACTGGGTTCAATTCTCAGCACCACATATAAATAAATAAAGGTCCATCAACAACAACAACAACAAAATTCTTTAAAAAAAATGTAATACTTGGGAATCAACCTTTCAAAAGAAGTGAGAGACCTCTACAATGAAAATTACAGAACATTAAAGAAATAAATTGAAAAAGACCTTAGAAAATGGAAAGATCTCCCATGCTCTTGGATAGGCAGAATTAATATTGTCAAAATGACCTTACTCAACACCAAATAAACAAATAACCCTATCAATAAATGGGCTAAGGAAGTGAACAGACACTTCACAGAATAAGAAACACAATCGATCAACAGCAAATATGCAAAAATGTTCCACATCTCTAGCAATTACAGAAATACAAATCAAAACTAATCTAAGATTTAATCTCACTCCAGTCAGAATGGCAATTGTCAAGAATATAAGCAACAATAAATGTTGGCAAGGATGTGTAGAAATGGGTATACTCATACACTGATGTGGGACTGCAAATTAGTGCAACCATTATGGAAAACAATATGGAGATTTCTCAGAAAACTTGGAATGTAACCACCATTTGACCCAGCTATCCCACTCCTCAGTTTATACCCAAAGGACTTAAAATCTGCATACTATAGTGACACAGTCACACAATGCTTATAGCAGCTCAGTTCACAAGAGCCAAACTGAGGAACCAACCTAGGTGCCCTTCAATAGATGAATGGAGAAAGAATATATGATATATATGCACAATGGAATATTACTCAGCCTTGAAGAAGAATGTAATTATGGCATTTACAGGTAAACAGAGATGAAGAATATCAAGCTAAGTGAAATAAACCAGTCCCAAAGAACCAAAGTCTGAATGTTTTTTCTGATGTGTGGATGCTAAATCACAACAAAGGTGGGGGAAGCCTTAGGAAAAAATAGAGGTACTTTGGATTAGGCAGGGGGAAGTGAAAGGAGGAAAGTGGGTATGGGAGGATAGTAGAATGAATTAGACATTATTACCCTACTTACATATATGATTACATGTGTGATTTTACATCATGTACAACCAGAGAAATGAGAAGTTATACTCCATTTATGTTTGATGTGTCAAAATGCATTCTGTCGTGTATAATTAGAACAAATTCGTAAAAATGCCAAAAAAAAAGTATCAATACTGGTTTATCAATTTTAATTATTTAAATTTTAATTTAATTATTTTAATTATTCAATTATTTAATCCTGATTTTAATTTTAATAGTGTATCGATATTGGTTTATTAATTTTAACAAAGTACCTTACTTCTTTAGATATTATAAGTTTCCCAATGATGACAGATTCTCTCACAGTTCTCCAATCAAGGCCTAGGGAGGGCTGTGTTCCCTTCAAAGAGTTCTTTCTCACCTCTCCCCTAGCTTTTAGAGGTTACAGCCATCCTGACCTTCCTTGTCTTACAGATGCATAATTCCCATCTCTGTCTCCCTTGTCACCTGGCTTTCCATGTGCTAATTCTCCTTTCATAAGCACATTGGTCCTATTAGGTTTAAGGACCACAGTATATCCACCATGATCTTAGCACAGGATTATTAAATACATCTGCATTGTCCCTATTTTCGGGGACCACTATTCAACCCATTATTATTATTATGTTAATAATAGGGGAAACAGGGCATACAGTCTTTGCAAGTTTTAAATCCAAATCTATTTTTAAAATTAAAATTTTTCATCTGTAAATTAATGAACAATAAAAAGAAAAAAATTTGATAAAATAGTTGCAAGCAAAATAAATTGACAGGCATTCATGTAAAGAGCTTGAAGAAAATGTAATATTTTAAAATAATAGCTCCTTAAGAGCAGGGAATTATCGATAATTATATTTTTAATGTTTCTATGGACTTTTAATAATATTTAATTGAATGATGCATTTTCCTCAAAATGATTTCTTTTGCCAAGAGAGAGAGAGAGAGAGAGAGAGAGAGAGAGAGAGAGAGCGCTCAAATCATGTAAAGCATCAATTTTCAGGCACTGCTCTTTGAACCCTTAATAGTAACATCTTGTGGAGTGTGGCTGTTACACAGAATTTCTGGAGTAAAATATGAAGACCCAAACCCAGTAAATAAAAATTCACAATTAGAATGTGACAATGAATTTGGGGCACTTTTATTTCTAATTAGAGATACACGGCAACCATCCCATACACTTGGTCATATTATCCTCTCAACCAACAGAATATTTAGAGAAATGCAGATTTTGCAGTTGCCAGGTAATTTTGTCCAACAAATAAATTCAAAATTGAGCATCTTTTCTAATTTGTCCTCTGTTCTGCTAGGCACAGAGCATCACCCAACGGTGGGCAGACCCACAGCCCAGAAGTCCTTGCTTGAGGTTGAGTAAATGCCTCCAAAAACAGCTGACCACACGTCTTCCAGGGATCACATAGAAATTGGAAGGATTTCAAGTATTCAACTATGTCACATACAATATGATAATTCCTCCTGTGCATCATTTTAGACTCCCAGCAGCTTTAGCATCTAGAATAAAGTCAATTCCCAAAGTGTGAGATACAAGCTTTCAGGGGCAAGTTGGGTAGGGAGAGGTCATCACTGAACAAGAGGTCACCAGTGAACAACAGCACTTTGTTTTTAAGGAAATGTACTAATGCTTTTACAGGAGAGACTTGATCAAATTAAATTGGTAAAGAAACACTAATCATGGTAAATTAGTTTACCCTGCAATACTTAAAGCATTCTGAATTGTAGAAAAATGATTAGAGACAATGGGATTGGCAGCTGCTAGAACTTGGAAGGAAGGTATAGAATGCATAGTAAACTGAATTGCTAAAGCATCCTAGTTTAATTTAGTGTTTAACAGCACCTGTACTGCCCTAAGGTTATGTTACATATATTACAACCCAGTACAATAACTCATGTTCATATTGATGACCTAAGGCCAGAATATTCTATTCAGTGAAGCAGAGAGACATGTAAATTAATTTCAGAGGTACGTGTTAAGATTCATATAAATGAAACATAAGGCACAACACCAGTTTTCAAAATGTAATCTGAGACCCTGGAAAAGGTTACCTTGCCTTTTTCACTGTGTTGACATTTGCACTGATGGTGAAAAAATATATATGTGATAAAACTGACAGTACCTTAGCATGAATCAAGGCAACAGCACCTTAAAA